AATGTATAGAGGAAAAGTGGGAAAAACTGCGGCCTCTTTGCCATTCAAGTGGTAAATATTTGCCTAGAGGCTTGCACGTTGACAGTTTTATAGCAGGCCAGAAAATCAACTAAAAAAGGAGAGGGATATATTTTCGTTATTCCGGATAAAAGTTGTTCAAAGCCTGAACCACGACCTGGGCCAATTACAAGACAAGCGGCCATAAATTACGCACTCGAGAAAAAAAACATTTGCAGACTGCACTTGACCTCTTTGATTGTGGTCGGCTGGTCTCGACATTTGTAATAAGCGAGTCTGCGAGCAGACAAAAACATGGAAACAACTTTTAATTGCATGGCAGAGATACTGTACAGTAAGCCCTAGTTACAAGGGTTGGGGAGGGGAATAGTCCAACCAGGCTAGACACACACAAAATTGAAATTTTCAAGCCTTGGCGCCCAAAGTTATGCGGCAAAAAGTTTTTCGGTTATTTTCCATATATGTATATAGTAACCCCACTCATATGTGGGCGTCGTTGTTTGCTGGTGTCGAGTTGAGCTGATTTGATGGCTAGCCATCTGCATTAATGACTGGCCATGAAGAGTCTGCTCCGCCATCTCACCGCTGTGCCAAATTAAATGCATAATTACTTGGTAATTGGATTTGTGGTCGGCTCAACTGGCTGTGCAAAATTTTCTAATTAAAATGTTTAGTGGCAGCACGATCGCCCCTCCGTTCGTCCTACCTCTTCGTTTGTTCCAATATTCAAGTCTACGGAGAGCTCCTCGATTGCCACTTGATGGCGCCAAAGCCTCAGGCACGTTCTCTACTTGGGGTTCCACGACAAGTAGCTCAAGTCCCGCCCCGCTGTGAGGGTAGCGAACTTCAGTTACCTGTGCAGTGTGGGGTAAGATGGCTATCAGACTGATTTTGTCACCAGAAAAAAGTAGATTTTGTTTTGCAGAAGCAATATGTTAATTAAAAGTGACTAAGATTTTCGAAGAAAGTAAAATAAGATGTAGGTTTATAGTATGTTTCGTTATACCATGAAATCTAGTTAGCCAATCTTTCAGGGTATCGCTTCTCTTACAATATTGCATTACTTTTGGCCACTTCTCTTATTTCGGAAGCAGAGGCCTTGTTCCGCTCCCTGGGAGCTTCGTAGGCACTGCCGCTCTAAATAAGTAATAAACACCTTGACTCGGGCCTCTCCTCCTGCACGTTTCTTGGTAATAAATTTCTATTTTCCTGTTGTTCTGGCTTGTACTGGCTGCGGGTGGCTAAAAGGGGGAAAAGAGAGGAAGAGAAAAAGATGGTACAGAAAGAGCAGGCAATCACAGTCGGGTGCATAGTTTGGCGGCTTTTAAAATTTTCATAAAAGCGTCGGCGTCGCATTCGTAATACAACGAAATTTATTGCATACACTCAGGCGGCATTGCCTGCTTACTTATTCATATGAAATTGCCTGATTACCGTTGGCCAAATCGTTTTGCCCAGCACCATAGTCCGTGTACATAGGCACTGTATTGGTACGTGTTTGAATTATATGCCGGTCATGCTGTGAATCGGGATTTGGATCCTGAAATATAGGGGTGGTGGAGAATCCTCCCATACCCCCATTATGCCTGCTTTCGATGGCAATTGCTGCTCTGGGGATCGAATTTTTTATGAACTGTCCGGGTCATGACTTTTATGATTTGTAAGTCCATGGGTCCATGGGGCTTTCGGTAAGTACCTACTCACATGTGTGTAGTTTCACTCACAAAACTCATTGAATTAAGCAAAATGATGAAATGACAATGCGGCAAATATAGGGGGAGGAAAGTGGGTGTGATATGGTGTCCAGGTTTGGGCACATTAAATGGAATGGAAGAATGATGTTGGCATTTGTAAAAATAAATATTTCATTTTGGATTATAAAATGGGATTTGCAGGTCAGTATAGAAACATTTGAATAGGTAAATCTCTTCCCCAGTTGGGGTTAATAACTAAATTAACTTACCAAAAACTAAATTAAGACTTTCCCCATGTAAAATATGGAGATAAAGATAGATTAACGTTTGTATATATCATCTATCTTTCTCTCCATATTTCGAAGTATATATCTAAATGTTTTTCCCTCTTTTCATCATTTTCATATCCCCTTACCCAGCAAATCTTGAGCCAAATGTATTTCCCTTGTCTCTCACAAGCACTTTAGGCTGTATCAATATTTTGGTTTGAATGAAAATCCTCCACTGGGCTTAAAAAACCGAAAACACACACAAAAGTGTGAAAGCCTTGAGGACTAGCACGTGCTCAAAATCTCAGCAGGTAAAGCACATACACTCAGCTCGCTATAAACACCTTTTGCCGAGCACTAAAATATAACTTAATCCCAACGAAATTGATATGAAATTTTACAGACACACACGGGGCGTATGAGTAATACAAGCAAGCAACCAACAAACAAACACACAAGAAAGTTCGACGAGGCAGGAATTTAAATTCAACTCGTGAGGTGTGAAAATGTACGCTCCGGCTTGTGAAAGTTTTTCTGGTCTCCCTTTCATGTTGACAGTTTTTCCCCATTTCCCTTTTCTATATTTTCCCCCTTTTTTTGCTAATTTGTTGACACTTCTTGCTGGCTGTATCAACTTTGATGTTTGCTTTGATAATTTTAGATTGAAAAAGTTTCGCCGCATTACTCAGTAGGATTTCAAAATGGCACAGGACTTACTCCCTGAAAACCCAAAAAGTCATGGATTGGTCTAGGATTCTGTTTAAGGCATTTTTAAGGCAGAGAACTTAGACTAATTACCCACATGGAATACAGAATCAACCTTGTGCCACATTTTCCGCCTCACTGCCGCTTCCTTTGTATCTTGCCAAGACAAAGCAAAAGCGGAAACGCATCTCTTGAGGCTGCCAAGCCACGCCTCTTAGCATACTTTACAATTACTTTTAGCCACCGCCCTTCGTTTTCCATGTAATTTTATCTCACTCAATGCCTTGCCTCCTCTTGGCTGCTTAATTTTTACACTTGCCGCCTCCAAATGACATCCCCTAAGGTATATATATATATATATATGTGTGTGAGGGGAAAACAATGCTAAAGAAAAAGAAAAGTGGCACAAACTTTCCTCTTGCCCTGCCTTGAGGGTAGCTTTTCCACAACAGCAACGTGAAAGGCATTGCTGAACAGAATTTAATAATAAAACCAATTTCCATTTATTAAATTCTCCTGTTCATCGTCGCCTCTAATTTAGTTTTACCACAAACTTCTTTTCCTGTTTTTCGCCAAAGAAATGCCTTGGCAAATGTTTATCTTGCACATTCACGACTCCAACTCCAAGTGCAATTCATAAAGCAAACCTCAAGAAATGCAAATATCTGTAGTTGGTCTGGCCAAAGCACACAGAAAACACAAGGAGGGCCAGGAAGACGTCTTAACCGCAACTAAACAAGTAATTTTGTGCACATTTCACTTGTCATATGACACGTAGTTTCCCTTCTCTTTTATATATATATTCCTTTTTTTTTGCCCTGTCTGGGAGCGATTTTCCTACTTAGCAGCTAGGAAAAGTTGCAAGCTCGTTGCATTTTCCCAAGCCCCGACAGCAGCTCCTCATAACGCGTGTTAAGTGCTTCCCCGACGTAGATACAAGATACAAGATACAGGATACAAGTTCAACTGTTTCGTCCTTTTTGCCTTGTTAGTTTCCGCTTTTGCAAAAAGGTGTGCCCTACAGCTTGTTTTCCGCTGCGTTTTTTTGGGAAACACTTAAAGCATATCGGATAATATTAAGATATTTTCGCCGTAGAAAGTGGAAGAAATTTTCAGACATTGTCTTTTATAGTTGCCTCTGTTAATGGCCACGTTCAGCCAATTAAAATTATAATTGGCCAACGTAAAAGCTAACTGCCAAATACTTTGCGCCATCGAGAGAAAAGCTCTCTCTCTTTAAGCCCTGTTAACTTTTCGCAGTGCAGTTTTCCAAGCCCAAACTAACTAAGTTTCATATTAAGACAGCTGCCAGACTGAAAAGCGAGGGGAGTGCTGGTCACATGCATCATAAAGCAAATCAAGCGTAAGTAACACCTTGATATAAAGCTTAAGTGACGGCGTTGCTGGGGGATAAACAGGGCGTATACGCAATTTATCTCTCTCAAACAAAGTTAGAATGTAATTAAGATTGGACTGGCTTTACTTTTCTTTAATAACTTGTGTGATTGATAACATATTTTGCTTTTTCCTTTGTCCAGACAAACATATTTCCAATTGCAACTCAATTAAGATTCTCTATCTTGGTAATAAAAGGCATTCCTTAGCTCCAGTCGCAACTTAATGACAAATGATTCAGTTCCCTTGCTGTTTATATGGTTGATGGTCATAAATATCGGGGGAGAGAGAGCTCCAGTGTGAGTTCAAAGTTCAAAGAAGTCGAGAGGGTCTACAACTTGTAATTGGCACACAGATTGGTGAGGCTGTAACATGTGTAGTGGGTTTCCTTGGGCCGCCTTTCGCCTTTGGGTTCTAATGAAAAAGGTTGCTCTTTGAACGCCTTTTGTTTGCTTGAGGTTTTTCGAGGGATTTCTGTGGCTAGGGTTCAGCTTCAGCTGGGCATCAGACAAATTGCCAACGATTAAGATTTTTTATCGGACTACTGAGTAAGGGACTGCCATGAAAAATGAAGATGTTGAGGTTGCTTTTCTGGTTAAATGAAGTTAAGTAGTAGGAGAAGCCTTTTATAAAGTAAGCCTCTTAAAGTTAAGACAGCTTTAAGTATTGCCTTAAAATTTAACATCTTCACCCTCAAAATCAAATTGTATCCTTTACACCTCTAATAACAACCCTTAGCGGGCTAATTAACACATTTGCCCTGCCACAATCACGACGTAAAGTCATTAATTAAATTCTAATTATGATGACATCACGACAACTCCGTACAAATCCCACCCCTAATCACAGGGGTTACCTATAAAACCTTGTCTTCATGGGCTGTGTAATTCACACCTCTGAACGTATTGTAACTGACAATATGGAATTGTCAACGATGGATACCGTGGAGATGCCCATTTTCGGGAGCACTCTGAAGCTAATGAAGTTCTGGTCATATCTCTTCGTTCACAACTGGCGTCGCTATGTGGCCATGGCTCCTTACATGATTATCAACTGCACTCAGTATGTGGATATATATCTGAGCACCGAATCCTTGGATTTTATTATTAGAAATGTATACTTGGCTGTTCTGTTTACCAATACAGTGGTGAGAGGTGTGTTGCTGTGTGTTCAGAGATCTAGCTATGAGCGTTTCATTGAGATGCTGAAAAGCTTTTACTTAGAGTTGTTGGTAAGTACAGAAAACTGTCTCCGAGATAACCTTTTAAAGGTTTAATATCTCATAGGCATCAGATGACCCCACTATCACCCTTTTAGTGACGGAGACCACCCGTCTCTCAGTTCTCATAAGTAGAATAAACTTATTTATGGGCTGCTGCACATGCATTGGCTTTGTCACCTATCCCATTTTTGGTTCAGAAAGAGGTGAGTTAAAGAATTTTCTACAATGATTCTTTCTTATAATCTTTCTTAAGTTCTGCCCTATGGCATGTATTTGCCTTCTATTGATGAGTACAAATACGCTTCGCCCTTCTATGAGATCTTCTTCGTAATCCAAGCCATCATGGCCCCCATGGGTTGCTGCATGTACATTCCTTATACAAATATGGTAGTGACCTTTACCCTTTTTGCCATACTGATGTGTAGAGTTCTGCAGCATAAGCTAAAAAGCCTGGAGAAGCTGAAAGATCATCAAGTGCGTGGGGAGTTAATATGGTGCATTAAATATCAACTAAAACTGACAGGGTAAGTCTTAGCTAAGGCAGTTGGATGTAGTTTAAAAATCTCAAACTTGCAGTTTGGTGGACTCCATGAATGCCCTGAATACCCATCTTCACTTAGTGGAGTTCCTCTGCTTTGGAGCCATGCTTTGTGTTCTTCTTTTCTCACTGATAATAGTAAGTAATGAGAAATAAATTAGAAATATTTATTAAAGATTTCTCCCCTTTAAAAAGGCTCAAACTATTGCCCAGACCGTGATAGTAATTGCATATATGGTAATGATATTTGCCAACAGTGTGGTTCTCTACTACGTGGCCAATGAACTATACTTTCAAGTAAGAGTTTTCTTTGAATTTTCTTTTGAAATTCTTAGTTTTCATCCCCATTAGAGCTTTGATATTGCCATTGCTGCCTATGAGAGCAATTGGATGGACTTTGATGTGGACACACAAAAGACTTTGAAGTTTCTCATAATGCGCTCACAAAAGCCTTTGGCGGTGAAGTCTTTTAAACATTTTTACTCAGTTATGTCTTGTCGTTAACGATTATTTCCTCTACAGATTCTAGTGGGTGGCACCTATCCCATGAACCTGAAAATGTTGCAGTCACTATTGAATGCCATTTACTCGTTCTTCACCCTTCTGCGTCGCGTTTATGGCTAAGGAAAAAGCGCTTACAAGGTTAGACCATCCTTTGAGACGAACAATTGCCACAATTGATTGCATTTAAGCAGCAAACATCCTCCACTGGAGATGGGAAATGCGATGCAATTGGATTGTTGCAAATGCATTCGAGGCAACTGCAACACGTCTCCGAAATATACCAAAGGAGCGTCCAACGAAATAAACTATAATAAAATTGCTACTGTGGATCCTTTTGTTGCCCTTTCGGCCACATCTTGGGCAGCCATGTCGACCACTACCATTTCTAGAGCTTCCTTTTGTTGTTGCTGGCCCTTTGTTATGCCCGGCACGTGCCATTCAGATAACTTCTATTTAAGCAAATATAAATCTAAAGTGTGCTAAATTAGATTAAAATGTTCTCGTAAAATAAACGTTGTCCAGTCTGCCGCCAGCTGATACAGGAGATTCCAGGGACCAAGGAGCCACCTCTATTGTCTGCCCTCGAAATTGCTTACAAATTCCCACTCTAAGTGCCAAGTGATCCAAATTGTTAATTAATGCTGGAAATTGGAAACTCGGTTGTTTATCCTCCAAGGAAGACTTTCTATAGAAGGGCAGGGGGGAGATTTTATTGCTTCATTTTCTAAAAACTCAAAATGGTTTCAGGAAGTGAGGTAACCTAAGGATATCGATTCTATTTGCTAGAAAAATTATGTGAAAATACGGAAAAGTTTGGGTTGAGCTTACACAGAATGTAGAAGGTAGATTTCCTTCAATGAGTTGGATATTTTATATGTAAAGGAACGAGATTCCTTATAGTACTTATAGTTATATTCCATTTGCTTTGAACTTTGAACTGTACATCGCTTGTTTCCCTACTTCCCCCCTATGCTTTAAGTTCCCAGACTTCAAATTAAATCCCCATACATTGCTCACATTATCACTTCAATTTTCCTAATCAGCATTAACTTTCACTTCAGCCCCAAGACCCTGTACCATTCCCAAAACCTCCTTCCCTCATCAACATCTGATTCCGAAGCAGACTCGTCTTCGAATTGACTTTAATTTAAGAATTTTTTATATGCCCCTCACAGATCCCGAAGGCTAACTGAGGAAAGGAAGCAGCAGTTAGAGACAGACCTACAAATGGAATCACTTGACGAGCCTTCAGGCATTGTCTGCGTCTCTCTGTGTCTGTCTGAGTCGGTTGGTTTAATGGAATTTACCTCCTTCCCGGGGCACACCGAATCATGACTGGCGCGTTTTACTGCATACTTTTTGGCCCCGAGACTGAGGATGGAGGCCGGAAAAAATGCTGATGCGACAATTATAGTTATTGTCTGGCTGGTATGGTCTTTGGAATGAGAGAAGATCCGCCAAAAAACTCCCCCTAATTCCACCATCCATGAGTACGTGAGGCTGGTGTGAGCACCTAAGCGGCTTCCCTTCACTTATTCTAGCCCGTTGGCAGCTGGCTGGGTCGTCTTGAATTTCAGATGGTACTGCGCCTGTTTTATTGCTAATGTAAACATGTTGTTGCTCCGTCAATGTCTTTGACGCCAAATTGACACATTTCTAGGGCGGATATTCTCGGCATCCCGCATCCCAAATAGTGTGCTAAAATGTGCTACGTGCGAGCATGGAGCTTATCAACACTAACAGCAAAAAGCAGAAGGCCAACAGTGATGGCAGATTAAGATTACAAGGAAGGTCTAAGGAAAAATCTAAGAACATTTTGACTAAAGAAAATCTAATGTAAAAGAACAACTAAGAAATCTCTCATTTTTAAAGCTGCCTAAAACTAGACTATGATTATTTGAGTCAAAGCGCATAACAAACTTTCTCTTTTTGTCTTTTACATCAATTTTCCTTTTTAGATATTTCACTCTGAAAATCCAACTTCGCAACACTATTAGCCAGCTGCTGGCAATCTTTAATTTTCCAGGCAGGTGGCAGTCGAAACAGCCCTCTAGGCATTCGAAATTTATCAGAACTCAAATCAATTTACGTCAATTCTCGCCTCGGGCCAAGTTATGTGAGAAGATTGCTTGAGTGGAAATCATGCCTACTGCCGGTGTCTAATGAGGCGACTCAGATATAACCCTTCTCCAAATGAATTCAGCCACCCCCCAATCGTGAATACTTTCCTTCATAGTTCTCGCCCCTCGAATTCGATGCTTGTTTTATGCGCATCATCCAGAAATTGCCTACGTGTTGGAATTTTTAAAACATTTCTTGAGTTCTCCTCCGCCGCTTATTTTGTTGACATTTGACTTTTGACCGGGCCAAAAGGGACAGTCAACGAGATGTCGTTGATCCTGCCCTGGCTTGGAAAATTTAGGTCAAGCGGTCAAGTGTTTTATGTTCTCTGTTATTTTTTTCTGTGAGGGTGGTGAATAAAAACCTTTCAAGGGTTTTATGATGTTTGCCTGCAGTGACAAAAAAGTTTAATGGAAGGGTACGAAACATGGGACTAACGAAATCTGTTTAGTTAAGACTCGGGTTAAGTGGGAAGTTGCGATAAGAAAACTTTGGCCATGTTCTGTTTAAAGTGACAAAAATGTATTATTTAAAGCCACTTCTTGTCCAAGAGAAAAAGGAATTATTATACTTTAAATACTTACTAAATCGATTAAGTATTTATGTCAAATGTCTGGAGAATACATTGAGATTCGAAGTATCCTTATCCAAGTTAACTTAATAACATATCAGCCACTATCTAAGTCAATCTTTACCCATAAGATTCGCTTTCTCCCTCCATTACCTACCTTGACCGCTGTCCAAGTGACATCTATCCAATGAACTATCTATCCATCTAAAGTTTTCCATTAGAGCCTGCTTTGAATAATTAAGCACATTTTCAGCTGCATAGCAAGGGTAATTGAAACTAAAAGCGCAACGTCCAATATCGTAGCCGTTGCATAATTGAAGGCGATGTGGCTTTTGTGTGTGGCCAAATCAAATTTAATTAACTGTCTAAACAGCTGGCCGTCGAGTACGTGGTATGCGATTGCCTAATGTGTATTTGCCAGGCTAATTAATTTAGTTTGGCCATATAAATTGCAGGCAATTTATGCGATTGAACTCGAAGATGACCAGAACCCAGACATACAGACTGCCAATCAGAATCAAAGTTGCAAATTCTTCAATAAAACGCGCTTAATTTTGACCAAGAGCGCAGATTGCTCTTCTCTAGTCTTTGCCTGTCTGGCAAATTGCTATTTACGGCCAGGACAGGTCGGCTGGCTGGTTGGCAGGCCGGATCTGGCGAATGCCATCAAAATTGCTGCACAAATCTGATTAAGATTTCAGTTTGGTAAGCGATTTATGAATGCCAAACGAGAGTGCGTGACCAGTGCCATTGCAGGAATGCCTCCATTTTGGCCAGGATTATGGTGGGCACAAGGCACAACCCCCTCCCACTTAATGTTTTGCCTGTTTGAATAGTGTCGTTTCTGGCTGCAGGCCAATTGCAAGCTGAAAGCCTTTCACAGTCCTGCTAAAACAAAGTGCCAGACTCACAGTTGCAGGATTGTGTCACTTAGAATTGCAAGGAGAGAAACTGGTAGCCATGGAGAATGCTGTCCTGTCCTTTAAACGGAGCTAGAAACATTTCAGTGTGATAATAGTTGTTAGATGTGTGAAATTCTACTGCGATTACACATTTTAATCGGATTTATTATGGGTTACTAGTGGCTGCAGTCAGGGCTTAAGTTAAACTGAAAAGGAAACTTTATTTTGAGTCTTTTTTAACAACTTAAGCTTATCTTTATTGAGCTTTTTAGCCTATAAAATGTTTATTTTATCTTTTTGTTAGCCACTTTCTCACTTTGTACTAACCAAATCAATCAATGCAAGCCAATTTTCTGCATTAACCAAATCCTATTGCCAATCATGCCTCCAGGAAAACTACTTTATCGGAGAATCTGTTCCTGTTTCCTTTTTCTTGCCATCCTCCTCTTGCATTTGTCAATTCTCCTGTAGTTCCTTTCGATTACTTTGAGTTATTCCAATTTGATTATCGTTCCTTCTTCTTTTCCCTATTTTTTACTTTTAAAAACTTTTCTTTTTATTTTTTATGCATTTCTTTATACTGAAAGTTGTCTAACATAATGTTGCTTGTTTTTGGTTAGCACCGCTTGTCTAGCGGCTTTGACACTTTGTTGTGGCCTGTCGTTTTGCATTTTGGCCCTGTCTTTCTCCATTCCCCTTTCTTTTGAGTCTACTCCATTAGAGCCTGTTTAGTCTCTGGGGTAGATTATCACCGTCATGGCCAATGAGCCTGGTGCCGTTTGCTTGCCTCTCTGCCTTTTTAACATTTCAATTCTAATTTAAATATTATATTGAGAGAAACGACAGACAGAAATGGTATGTTCACACTTTTGACTTAACAAAACTTTAAGGCTTAAAGAACTCAAATAAAACCCAGTTAATCTCCCTTCCATCTGACATGTCATAAATATTTTTAACAACTTTAGCATGCTGACATTTGCCAGTCCATTTAGTCACGCCACGTTTCTCTAGCCAATTAGCTAATTTAACCTTGACTGCGACCAGTCCAGGTACAGTCCCCCATCACCATGTTAGCCAGCTGTTAATTAACATTACCCTTTCTTATTTGCCTGGCTGATTGGAATAGTTTGACGCCAACTTTTCGCCAAATTATGATGCTGTCAACGGCTGTTGGCTGGTTTATGCTGCCTTTCTTTCGATTTCTCTCTGTACTTTGGCTTTTGCTTTTGTTTACAATTTTATTTGTCTGGCTGTCACAGTCGCTGTCACATGTCAAATGTCAAGTTCACTTTTTTTTTCGGTCCCAGCTGCTGTTGGCGAACTATTTTGCATTCCGATTACTTTGCACTCTCTGTGGAAATTTCACTGCAGCAGTTGCCAAACACTTGACGTGACTGCTTATGATAATTCAGTTGCCATGTATATGGGGTCTATATATATATATATGTATATATAGACAAAGATGACTTGATTTACAATGGCCAAAAGAAAAAAATACTGCAAAGTCCTTCTCTGTTACTTGTTTG